TCGCAGGAACTGGCACACTCTTTAGAAGCTGTCCCTATTTCTTCTGACTACAACTGAGAGAGGAGCAGGGAGAGAGAGAGAGAGAGAAAAAGGGAGAGAGAGAGCGTGTCATCCAGTGCATTAGATAGACTTGGCTAGATTGATGTCATTGCTCATTAAGAAAACAGGCAATCTGCTTCTCGTTCTCATTGGAGAAAATAAATCTGCACAGAGCCCAGTCAAATAACGTGTAGCAAATGATCAATGTTATCTGAGGGAGAAGATGATTGATCCTTTATTTCTTGCACCCTCTCATGCATAATGCATAAAATCCAGGATGTCCTCGGCTTGCCTCAGGACCTAGCAGTGATGTACCACATTACCATGCAGAACACTCATTCTGAATTCCTAGTGACAGTCTCCATATCCCTGAGCAAGTGGGAGCCAGGAATGCTTCAGAATTCAAGAGGCCCTGATAGTGGCATGATGGATTTTTGAATTCCTTCCAGGCCTTTTTACAAATGCACACATGACTCAGGGAAAGTCTCAGAGAGCATTCAGGCCTCAATATCTCCTAATGCAAAACAGAATTGGTAATATTAGCTTCTTTCAGAACATCAGATGAAAAGATTAGAAGAATGGGAATGTTTTGAAGAACCAAAAATGAGGGAGATAGCTAAAGAGGAAAATGAACTGTTTACTTTTCCTTATAATGATTAAGTTTCAGAAAACAAAGGTAATCCTTGGTGATTTTAGAGGAAGCTGGTTTCTCAAATGTTGTATCTTAAGTTGTATCTTAAGCAACTATTTTATTGCTATTTTTCCATACTCTAAATAATAACAGTGATGATTATGATGATGGTAACAATACTGGCAGCTAACATTTTGAAACACTTATTTGCCAGGCTTTGAATTAAGCACTGTACATGCATTACCTCACATAATGTGAACTGAGGTTTAATTAAGAACTAGAACTTAATTAAGATGCTAAGTTCACAGCTACTAACCAATGGATTCCAGAGCCAACATTGCTAATCCACACATATGACTGCTAAGAGCGTGGGGGTGGGGTCAGGTGGAGGAATCAGAGTATCAAATTGTAATTGGCCGTCCTCAATAAGTAGGCTGGTGGAGATTTTGTAAACTAGCAAAATTTGAAAAGAACCAGTGAGGTTTTAGTCCTTATTCTGGGCAAGTCATCATACTAGATTCTTTACCTAAATTTCAGAGTAGTAATAATGATGATTAAAGTGATGACCAATCTGCGGGGTAGGTAATATCATCCCTGTGCTGGTTATCAGGCGATTATTTCTCCATATTAAGTTACCCTTCTCCGCTCTGCCCTGTGGTACTGGGGCTGGGACCCGGCAAACCATATTTCTGCTTTGACAGCTGCTTCCTATGGGGCTCTGTCACTAGGGGGCGCCAGAGAGAGACTTCAAGCCCGTAGGAGCAAGGAGGGGTTTTTTTTCTTCCTGTTGTATTTGCTGTTCACGTCAGCATCATCTGAGCAACGTGTCTCAGTCCTGGCGGCGGCAGCTCATTCCAGCTTGCAGTGGCAGTTTTCATCCCAGAAACAGTAGTGATTCAAGTGTACACTTTTTCTAACACTCTTAGAATTAGCCTCGTGACGCTGTCCGTCGGTGACGCCAACCCAGCCAGCACACCTCCTCAGAGGTTTGCATCCAAGCTTTGCAGGGCTCCTCCTCCAATATTGTTTCAGTAATTCCAGCTTCTTCCTTTTGCCTTTTTTCCCCCATCCTTGCAGTGGTAATTGCCTCCTGCATCATTACCTCCACAATACCTAGGTGTTCACCTTTAACCTTTTCATTTCTCCAATACAAAGTTAACAGTTCTTAATATTAAATTCTCTCTGTTAATATAACTGGTATGGTTGTTGCCCCCTGAGTGAAACCCAAGTGATATGACCCCCAGATCAGAAATGAGAGTCAGTTGCTCATATTCACTACTCAGTTGATCAGAGCAGTTGAGGTGGAATCCACCCCAGGTCTGTCTGGTTCTCCAATATTCCATGACTCTCCAAATGAAACAATGGTATCTACTTTGCCTATGTTGAATAAAAGGACACACATGGAAAACATGAAACATCATGCAAATTAAAGCCAAATAAATATCCAGATACTGTGTAAAATGATGAGATTGCATGCACTGAAATTGCTTATCAATATTTTATTGGTAACAATGACTGTCATATATACAAAGTAAGTTCCATTGCACTGAAATGCCTTATTCAATGAGTTAGCCTGCTTCTGTATTTAATACAATAGGAGCCCTCTTGCAACCCTCTATCTGGTCTGACCAGTGCAACCAGTAGGTTGCAACCAGATTGCAAAAAAATATCATGCAATCCTCTACCTGGTAAGACCAGTGAACTTCAGGATAGATTCTTTCACTGGTAAGAAACTTAAGGCAGAGAACAAGAAGTTGTAACTCAAGCCATCATCATTCTCTTAATAATAAAAGAGGAGTCCAAAACTTCAAAAGATCATGGTAGATTTGTCATTTGTCAGTGAATAGCAGGATTCCATGATACAGTGACAGATATCCCAGAAACCAAGGATCAATAGGCCTATTATGTGTGCCAAAATGGACAGATACCTCATACCCACTAGACTAGCAGTGTGATTATTACAGCTACATCTACTGTGAGACTGAAGATGTTTGATGAATCCAAAGACCGAGAAACTTGGGAATTCAGAATCTGTACTGATCAGAAGACACAAAGTCAGAAACCACTGCCAGAAGGGAACAGTAAGGCCTCTCCAGAAGTTCCAGGACATGATATGTAAATAGGTAAATGGGTCTAGAAATATTTACAAGTCTCATATTAAATTAACCCAGTTCCATAGCATGCATATTAAAATGAAAGCAGTTCTTATGCCACTTGAGATATAAACATACACACACACACACAATTTCTTTCTCCTTTCACAGAAAGCATTTTTGTTTTCCAAATCATTTATGCATGGTACTAGTATTTCTTGTTTTTTACTGTGTGTTAAAGTATATATATGTAATGTAAGGGACTATCTTTTCTGATTATATTTGTAAATTCACCTGAAGGCCATATTGCAGTGAGCCCATCTAAAACACATAACAAACACACTTATATTTCTGGGAATTCCTCACACAGTCCAAGGGATAAAATGAGTAATTTGATCAATGATAGCCTAAACCACAGTGAAACATAGAGTGGTGGAATGTAGAGAAAAATTGTCACCCTCCTCCCTTGTAATGCTTCATTCTAAATAAGTGCCCTTCGCAGCACCTACGACAGTGTCACACATCCAGTGGATACCTGATAAATACTGGTTGCCTCTGATAATGCTGACAGAACACAGAGGCATTATAATGAATAGTAGGGGATAAACATACATATATAGGTAATGCCTTAGTAGTGGCTGTGTATTTCAACAGCAGTTTAGAACAATAAAGCCTGCTATTATGGTAGCGATAGGTAACATTAGACATAACATGAAAACTCCCTTTTCTTGTGTTATCCAAGGAAAATGGAGCTAGGATGAAAGCACAAGTTTCCATTTAGTAGCATAAAAGAAATCACTGCTCATTTCAGAGCTGTACTCAAGAATCTGCACAAAAAAATGTGGAGAGGGATTGTGCCGTACTTGTAAAAATGGCCAGCAGATGACAGCTCCATGCTTTCTGGACAGGTCACATGATCTGAGAGTGAGGGTTGTGCATGTCCTCAGATCAGATAACACTCAAAACATATTTGGTGGGTGTGGCTCAGTACTCCAGCTCTGAACTGACTCCAGATCAACTGGACCACAAAGTTGAGCACCGATTCCTGGACACTGATGAAGAAACCAAGTCACTGACACCCTGAGATATCTGACCTGAGCAGGAGCCGCCTAGTCACACTCCTGTGCCTGCCACAGCAGCCAAGTCTGCCTCCTCCCGGAAGGAGGGGTTAGAATGTGTGGATTTACCTTACAGTATATCCTCAAGTCATCTCCCTTCTCACACCTCTAATGAAGTCATAAGCCCAATCATGTCCTAAATGTCTTTGCATTATGGACTAACAGTTATTGTTGAACACACTATATTCCAGGCCCTGCACAAAGGCTTTACACAGATTATTATTCCACTTGTCACAACAGCTCTGTGAGGTAAGTATTATTTTCTGCATTTTACACAGGAAGAAGCCAATGCATGAGGGAGTCAGACAATTTGCCTGTGATTACGTATGTAGTAAGTGACAGGGTCAGATTCAAGGCCAGGCCTATGTTCGTACCTGCTATGGAAAGGTGGTGGTGTGTAATAGCTAAATAGACAAAAGATATGCCCTCCAGTTGCTCACTGTATTCTGTTACAGCTTTGGAAAGGATATGGTGTGCTAGAATAGGTGCTTAATAGAGGAGTAAATTCAGAAACAGACCCAGTATGTATCAGAATTTATATTGTGATAAAGAAAGCATCTCAAAAAACCATAATGAAATGATGGAAAATTCAATAAGTGATGATGGAGAACCTGGCTAACCATTTAAGGAGAAGTCGGTATTTGTCTAACCTGTGCTATATATTGGAATGAACTGGTGAAACACTCTACTTAGGTTAAAGATTCAAATAGGAACAAATAAGTAGCAAAAGTACTGAAAGAGAATGTAAATGAAACTGATATAATCTTGGGCTGGAAATTATACCAAAGAGAGAAATCATGAAGGAAGAGATGGATAAATTTGATTGCGTATAATTTTTAAAGTTTCTGTATGACCCAAAAAACCATTAACAAAGGTTTTAAAAAAAGTCAGTTGACAAATGGGAATCCGGGGAGAACTCATGACAAAATGATTAATACATTTAACCCATAATGAATTTAAACATCAGTAAGGAAAATTTAAATAGCCCAATAGAAGAGAAAAATGAGCAGAAGTTACAAAGAGGCAGATCATAAAGGAAAAGAATACAAACGGTTGACAAGCTTATAAAAGGTGCTCTATCTTATTAGTATAAAATAAATGCAAATTAGGACATCAAACTATAATATTTTTAATAACAAATTCATACAGATTTTTTTTAAAAAACACAAAACTTAATGCTGACAAGGGTTTAGAGCAACATAGCCATTTTCATGTGCTATTGTCAGGAATATAAATTGGTTTCATATCTTCAGGTCACATTGGCTATAGCAATTTTTTTCTTAGAAATTCTATTTCTTAACATAATTTGTCAAATGTGTAAAAAAAAGAAGATTGTATAGGTATTCATCATAGAGTTTGTTAAAATAGAAAAATAGTGGGAACAAATTAAATGTTTGAAAGTAACAGATTATCAAACAATATGACTATGATGATTTCATTTAAAAATTAAAGTATATGTGTGGGAGGTGGTTTACACATGCATAAGAAACAATGTGGAAAAACATTTGCCAGTATGTTAATAATTACCATTGGATAATGGGACTACAATTCAATTATACTTTATTTAAGTTTTTTTCAATGTTTTCTTGTTTTGTTACTAAGCATATATTAAATTTACATTGAAAAGATAAACAAAAGTGACAGTACTTTACAAAAATGAAACTTTCCTATCCTCTGAGAGTCTTTCTGTTAGAGCTCTTATTACACTAACTGTTATTTGTTTGGCCACCAAAGGGCAACAAGTGCCTAATCACTGGAAAGGATCAAGCCCCACACTTGGATGGCTAGGGAGCCTTCATCACATGCCTGGCCAAGAGTAGAATCAGGCCTCCGCAGATCAGTTTATTGTCTGCAGAAGTCTTTGGATGCTCTCCAGAGAGATCACTTCAGTGAACTTTCTCTTGTTCTCAGTCATGAAAACTCTATAATGGATAAGGTGTTTGATTCATCCTCACATTTTTTCCATTTGCTTCTAAGTTGTTGATTGGCAGGAGGATCAGCAGGTGAGTATTGAATTGTTCAGGAAAAGTCAAAGACTGAACTCTCAGGACTATTCTTACGCTATACTGTTTAAATTTGGAAGACAAAGGAAAAGTTAATAAAACATTTCGTACCCTTCAAATCTGCCACCTGCCACTCTCCGTGTTTACCCATACACATATAACAGTATATACTCACAGACACAATTATATTCTCACCTCTCAGAGGGCTTGGGCAGAAAAGCCAGAGATGTCAGAGAATCCTCTTTGGGGTACAACATGTGTCCCCCATTGAGCAATTACAGCCTATGTTCATCCAGGCTGGACAGGCTGACCTCGTCTATTAAATTCTTTATTAAACAACGTCTGTACCTCATTCTCCTATTGTAGCGAGGTAAATGATAGATTCTCACCCAGCCTGGCAACAGCTGTTTTATCATTGCTTCTACAATCTATGAGAACACCAAGGAAAAATTCCCAACTGTGAAGCAAAGATGATTGGAAAGACCCTGAACACCAGATTAAAAGCAAGAAAATTGCACCAAACCTAAGAGAGATTTTTCCTATGCCTCACACAGAGACGCCCCCCACCATCACTGACTTCTTGATTAAATTGTTAAAGTCTAATGAATTATTACTATGTTCCTGTGAAAACCCGTAACTTGGGCGGCTGTTTATTTTTAAGTAAAAGCTCCGTGAACCAACTAGCAACTTTTCCAGCAATGCTGATAAAAAAGAGAGAGAATATGTTTTTCACATAGTAACACCCCTCCCCCATGCTAATCATCACATTCCTTGGGCATACTTCACTCAGTTAGATTCCCGACAAGTAATATTATGATTCATCCTCATATCAGCAATTGTTACACCTAAAGGAAAAGACAAAGACATAACTAAGTGAATTGCACAGAGAAAGCCAGGTGGATAGAAAGAGACAGTTTTCATTTGCACATTTATATAGCTGAAGAATTACTAAAGGTGTACAAGAAACAAAATCTGAAAACTTATTTACCCATTTTTTTTCACTTGTTAGAAAACTTCCATTTATAAAAGGTAGGCATAAATAGGTGAGTAGAGAAGACTAGATGGTGAATTATTCATTCCAGCTGGGCCATTCCAGGTCATAAGACATTAGACTTCTAATAATTTTACACATAAAAGAGACCCAGTATGACAGAAGCTCTGTTAAACCAGCTCATACTGCATTCAGTCCCTCAGAATGCTGAAATGATACGACATGGGTAGGCCCAGGAGAGAAACATCTGAGATGCATCGTCAGGTATCAGGGAAAAGCAGATCAGAATAGAAGCCTGTTTTTAAGGCAATCTGTCCAGAAGGCCAGACAAAGGGAAAATATTGTAGAAGATCCCTTCTCTTCCCCTGACTCCATGCTACCAGTATTAAAATGACTGTAATAATAGATCAAACAGCACTTTTTCAGGGTGGAGGAGAAAGGAAAAAAGAAGATCATAACTGACATGAATATTTTAAGTGATCATAAAGTATTATATATGCATAGAGACAATTGTGAAAAATACAGAAAAGCAAACTGAAGATATCTCTCTCCTCTTACCATTCAGGTATAAAACAATCATTCACAACTGGTATAAGTTCTTTTGGTCTATTTTATGTGGAGATATGTGTATTTGATGGTAATGATAATCTACAACATACATATATATCATGTACATATTATACTCCCTAAAATTGGATTTGCATTATATGTAATTTTTATAACCTGTCTTTTTGCAGTGAACATTCTTAAATATTTTAATGACAATGTTGCAATGTTTTAAATTTATCATCACCATAAAAAATGGTTTTAAGCTCCAATATGCATATTATGTAACAGTTAAAAAAAACCCTTGATGTAGGATCAAGCCATTTCCCCACATAGAAATGTATATCTGATCCTAGTTCTGCAGTACCCCATGCACTATCATGAATTGACTGGAAAAATAAAACAAGTTACATAACCTCTTTAAGCTTCAGTATCCTCATCTGTAAAATGCCATAGTATTTTTGCAGCCTCCTTATCCTGCATAATTCAGTCCTGGAATTAGTTATATAAGCAAAAATACAAATTAAAAGGGGAAGTCCTAAAATGATACAAACATACCTCAAATATTTCACATTAACTTAAAACACACAAATGAACATTCATCAAGCTTATGAAATAGTCCCAAGACCTCTTTCTTGCATAAACCACACCTGTAAGTATCCATAATTTCCAGCTTTATTTTCTTTAAAGAGGAATAGAACATATAGACAATTGTAAAACAGTCTAAGCACAAAATCCTTCTAGACTTTTTCTGTCACACTAAATTTAATAGCCACTTGTTTAGTGAATTCCTATATAAAGACTTTCTAAACATTCAACTTAGTTTTCATAAAATCAATACCTCTTTCTTTCCCATCTAGATATCATCATCTTACATAATATTTAATCAACTTACATAATTTCAAAATAAACACACTGAAACACAGGTCTGGGAACAAGCTCACTGACCCTTTGAGCACATCCCTCCACTGCAGGCAGCTGAAGGACTCAGTCCACTGGAGAATAACCCACTGGCCTGAGCATCCAGTGTGCCATGAAGACTAGTAAACATGCATTAGAGGGAAAGAGAGCTTCAGAAAAGATGGACATGGGCTAAGTGCATGGCTGCTCCCAACATTAAAAGAATCAATGCATGCACAATATTTGGCACAAAGTGTGACACTTAATTAGCTCTTTATAAACATTACCTAAAAAGAGGGAGAGAATAAGAAAATAACAAGAATGCTTTCCACTGTTTGCTCACAATCATTGAAATCTAGGCAAGCTTCAACCAAGACCAAGTAAATGGAGTCATCTGTTGAGGACTTGATGTCATTCTAGAATCAGATCCTGAAGAGAAGGATGTGGTCTAAATCAGATGCGGCAGATGGAAAGTGCTTACCGGAACATGAGTTGCCTGGCTCTCATGACAAGTTATCAGTGGGTATACTGGATCCCAGAGTAAGATGAAACAACATAGACATACAAGCTGAAAAGAAGTTGGATCAAACAGGCTGATAATCAGGAAAAAAGGAGACTGACAGAGAGCATTAAATACTGGGCTACTCTTCTAGGTACAAACTATCTGCTTCGTGACCTCTGATATTGTTTTATTGTCTATATTTGTAAATGGCTGCTTAGTGTTTTTATTTCTCATTTCAAACCAAATACCAGTGAATGAAGCACCAGTGAAGACTTAACTTAAAGGAAATTATAAACCTGCATCATCCTGACTTTAATCAATTTTTATCATCATCCTTCTCTATCCTAGAAAATTCATGTCTCACCCCCAGCCTAAGCAAGGTGTTTTCTTTCAAATTTTCCCTGCAGCAAAAAGGACGATAGCTAACATGGGTTTTAACAAGCTGCATTTTGAGGACATAGAAAATGCAGTGCAAAAGTAAGTAAAAAGAACTTAACTTTCTATAAAACACAGAATTAGCACAGCAGACACTAACAATCAGTAGATGGACTGTCAACAATGTAAATAAACAAGAATACTATGACAAATGCAGTCAAAATCCTTAAGAGCAAGAGTTGTTGCTGATTTCTCTTGCAGATAATGGATGTTGAAGACTGTAAGTGACTAGAAGCAGCTAGGGGAGACCCATGACCAGGGTTGCGAATGATAAGGAAATGCCATCAAAGAACTGCTGCTAAAGTTTTAGTGTCAAATACCCATGAGTAGCAGAAGAGAGAATGAGAAAAGAGAAGTTTCTTTACACACAATTTGAAGCAAATAACTGGGTCACAGGCCAAACGTGGGTCATGTCCATTTAGTTCAACCTTCCTAGGGTCACAGCTCCCTTTGATAATCTGTGAAAAAGCTAAGGACCTCAAAATAGTTTTGCAGTGTCTTATAAAACTACATGTACTTGCCATATGACAATTGCACTTGTTAAGTACTTTCATTCTAAAGAAATGAAAACTTTTGTTCATGCAAAGACCTATACACTAATGTTCATAACAGTTTTATTCATAATAGCCAAAAACTGGAAACAACTTAGATGTTTTTCAGTGGGCAAATAGCTAAGTAAACTGCAGTACAATCCTATTGTACTTGGGTGAATCCCCAGGGACTTACACTAAGTGGGGAAAAAAAGGAAAAGAAAAAGAAAATCTCAAAAGTCTACAAATCATACAATTCCATTTATGTAACATTCTGGAAGTAACAAAATTATAGAGCTAAAGAACATATTAGTGGTTGTCAGGTATTAGGTATAGCAGGGAAAGAGGCAGATGAGGCTATTAAAGGGATAGAAGGAGGCATTCTTATGATTACGGGCAGTTCTGTACTTGACAGTGATGTTGGTTACATGAATCTGCATATGATACAATTGCATAGAACTACACAAACACACATGCACAATCACCATTAGATGCAAAACTGGTGAAATCTCAATAAACTCTCTAGATCATACCAATGTCAGATTCCTGGTTTTGATATTGTACTATAGTTATGCAAGATGTTACCATCCTGAAATACAGAACTTCTCTGTACATTTTTTGCAACTTCCTGTAAATCCATAATTATTTCAAAATAAAGATTTTTTTAAAAGTAGGTCTATATGTACTGATATTGAAATATGACTTTATATTACTAAAGTCAGTCATCAAATAGAATTGTGATGTGATTCTCTTATGAGGAGAGAGATTGAGGATGTAAAAAGAGTGGAAAGTAAAGAAAAAAATTCTAACTTTTCACTTGATATGCTTCTGTGCTAGTTTAATTTTTTACTTGATATTCTTCCATACAGTTCAAATTATTTTTAGAGTATGAACATATCATTTATCATTTTAAAAGGTATATAAGAATTTTTTTTTAAATCTATAGACCTCTCCCAAAAAATTTATATACAATTAAGTAAACAATTTTAGCAATCTCATAGACCCAGAGCCCACCCACAGATCTCCTAAAGGATATGTGCCCTCCTTACTAGATGTCCCTGCTTCAAAAAATGGCTGCCTGCACAAGTGGAGAGAAGTAGGGTCAGGGGACCAATTAAATATATTCTATAATCACCCTGGGCTCTATTTCCTATGAAGCCTAGCCGCCCTCAAGTGGGAAATAAAGATTCATTTCTTTGTTTCTTTGGAAGTGACTACATGTGGAACTCTGAATTGCAACTTTAGGAACCACACCAAGGGTGATCATAACAAACATGAAGGAATAAATTAACATATAAATAACTTATTACTCAGAGTACTTAGAACAACATGAGGAAATAGAATGGTTCTTTGAGCATTTGTTTACCAGCCATATTCCAGGCAATATGCTAGGCACTGGAAATAAGGCAGGGAGAAAAACAAGCTTGTTTTCCACCTAGAAACTACTGGGTGCCTAGAGGCATGGGAATGTTCTTGGCTGCTTAATGCAAGTCATCCCATTTTGCTGAAAATCTTCAATACATGAACCACATGCGTAGATGATATATAAGAATTATGGAATCAGAATGAAAATATTTATATCATCCCTAAAAGAAATATAATATGTAAATATACAAAGAAACATTGATTTATACATAGATAAGTAGGCAAATAGAGATAAAATCCACAATCGAATCGCTATGCTCATTTAGAACCTTACAGACAGCCATTGGTTTTGATCTTTTGACTCAAACCTGACAGAATAAGCTAAATTATTCAATAACCCAGACAAACACTCTCTTGGCTTCATTTGTTTTGTTGTTTTTTTAACAGAGAACTGCAATGGTACACTAATAGGACTAAAACTGATGGGAAGACACATGAAATAATAGAAACATTGAACTTGAGAAGCAGCATGACATAGAACACATGTGGCTAATAACACATGTTCATGTCCCAGACCGCCTGGGTTGGAGTTCCAAATCTGCCCCTTAACAGCCCTGAGACCAAGGGAGTCACTCTCTGTGCCTCGGTTTCCTCATACATAGGACAGATGTGTGTAAGTCTGTGATGCAGGCTGAATGAATTAGAGTTCTATAGATGTGTTTGTCAAATCAACTTTTCAGTAAACATTTATTGGACTGAAACCAAATGCATTAGGTGTTCAGAGGAAAGAATTCCTGGGAGAGGAGTTATTCAAATGGGTAGGACTCCGCCAGGAGACAAGTCGGAGAGGTGCTCTAACAGTGGGGCCCAGGCAATGCCAAGGCAGGAAGGTGAGCACGTCTGGGGAAAAGAAATCCTGAAGATGTGGAGGCTCCAAGGTGGAGCCCAGCCTCCGAGTACAGATTCGAGGCTCAGCAGAAACACACACTGTCTCTCAATGAAGGGTTTGGGTTTTACTTGGTAGGTAATCTTAGCACCCTGAGTGATGTTGAACAAAGGAGAAATCTGATCAGTGCTGTGCTTTAGGAAAATCAACTTGTCCCATGGTTTAGAGGAGGACCTGAGGACCTTTTATGAAAGCATTGTATAATAAATGGTTATATACCAGAAGAAGTGTAATCAAGGCCAAAGCAGAACAATGACAGTAAAGATGAGTATGAACAGAGACAGAATGAACAGTAATTGAATTGAGACAGAGATTGGAAAGCAACTAGGTCAGTAAAAGAAATAGAAAATTATAAAAAATCTGAGAAATTCCTATGTGCCAGACATGCTAGGTAATTTTCTGTAAGTTAAGTTCTCACAAGTAATATGCCAAACAATCAAATGCAATAACTGTGGAACCTGTTAAAACTATCCCCTTGTTCACCCATAAGAAACTGAGGCTCAGAAAAGTTCAATGATTTGCCTAGATATGTGACTTGTGAGAGACAGAGCCAGGATTTGAATACATCACTTCATGACTCCAGACCAGATTTCATGCTTGCTCAAGTATTCCATGCAGTGTCCAGGGGGAAGATGTCAACTCTGTTTGGGACACATTGCTGGAACTCCAGATGGATTTTCTGAACAGGCAGCTGGAAAGGCATGAGGAAGTCTGATGGGAAAATCAGGGTTGGAGAATGGAATTCAGAAGCTTCACAGAGGTTTTGTAAGGATTAGTGAAGTCACTGAAGTGAATAATCAATAACAGATCATTT